AAATGGAAAATTGTTATTGATTATTAGTATAAATTGTTTAGGCACTGTCTTTCTGGGATTTTATTGCTTGCAGAGTTTATTCTCTATGTTTTTCTTTTTGATTCATTGCAACTGAGGTATTTGAGCTATCTCAGCCTTTGATTGTTGCTTTTGATATGTGGAATGATGTGCAAATTCATAAAAACAATTGTATTAATTCATCAATCAATATAATGAATGATGTTAAAAAAGCCAAATAGTTAGTCTTTCACCAAAAGTTGATATATTAAAGCTAATGAACTAATCAACCAAAAACTGACGCATAAAAGCATGCTCAGGGACCAATGTTGCTTTTCATATTTGATTTTCAAGTCTACTGGTGCTCAGGTACCAATCTTGCTTCTGATATTTTATTTTCAACTGATTTGCTTAGGAAAAGTAGAAAACAAGTTTGATTTTTCGCAATCTCTGTTCATAATTGAATAATTGTTGATGACACTTCTTTTATTTTTCTTTCATTTGGCCTTTTTGGGTTGTTTCTGTGTTTTGTCTGTTTGGTTGCAGATGCCTTATCCACCTTTTCAATATATCGTTTCTCTTTAGAAAAGAAAATCAATATTCAAGACATCTTTGCTCCAAAATAATGTATGCATGCATTAAATTTCATGGCGTAAAATAAAATTTGAATTTGACTTGCATCTCATGATCTAAACTCTCATATGGTTGTCCGCATATGAGAGTCTATTTTATGTGACTCTGTAGGCATTACCTATTAAGGATGATTTCTACTTTAGCCTCAATTGTAAACATGAATAGATTAACGTTAGCTTCAGATTATCGACTTATTTATTGTGGCGCTAATTAATTACACTCAAGTTATTTGTGCCTAATGAACCACAACTATAATATATATGTGTTTGTGTGTCTATTTGTTTTTTGGTATATAAGCAGACTGCTGTCTTGCATTCTACATGCTGAGGCTGATAGATAATTTTCAAGAATTAGAACTTAATGACACAAGGACAAAGAGATGTAGGAACTGTCTTTACTCACAATTAAGATGTCATTTTCCTCTGAATGAATTTGAAAATAAACCAGTCTTTGCTTCATATCCTCATATTTTCATGTTTCCATTTGTTTGTATGAGTGTAACAAATGAAGTGATTCTCTTGGGGTCCATATTTTTTATATTCCTTCATATCTAAAACAGTGTTGCAATGGATTAATTAATTGAGACTCTGTCTTATCTCACATGGAAAACAGAAATTATATTTATCAAACAAATATTCAAGTTTTTGGTTCTTTGTTGTTTTGACACATATATATTTTTTGTCTTTGTATTTTAGATAGCTGCTGTTATCCTGCTTTTGTGTACCTGTTTTTGCAAGTGCTTGATAGTTTCTCGCATTACAGGTTAGTGTTTTGTCCATTTTTTAAAAGACTCTGTATAGCACCTGTAGTTGATTAATTGTCACATTATGCTATTTGAAAATTCTCATTTACATGGTTCTGTCATGATCATTGTGCATTTGTTTCACTTAATTACAATTTAGGTGTGACTGATAATCTAAAATTTTATTTATGCCTTCTTTTTTTTTTTTGGGTCTTTCCAGTCATCAATTTGTTGCTTTAGACATCTTTGCTCCAAAATAATGTATGCATGCATTAATTTTCATGCGTAAAATAAAATTTGAATTTGACTTGCATCTCATGATCTAAACTCTCATATGATTGTCTGCATATGAGAGTATTTTATGTGACTCTGTAGGCGTTATCTATTAAGGATGATTTCTACTTCAGCCTCAATTGTAAACATGAATAGATTAACGTTAGCTTCAGATTATCGACTTATTTATTGTGGTGCTAATTAATTGAACTCAAGTTATTTGTGCCTAATGAACCACAACTATAACATATATGTGTTTGTGTGTCTATTTGTTTTTTGGTATATAAGCAGACCGCTGTCTTGCATTCTACATGCTGAGGCTGATAGATAATTTTCATGAATTAGAACTTAATGACACAAGGACAAAGAGTTGTAGGAACTGTCTTTACTCACAATTAAGATGTCACCGTCCTCTGAATGAATTTGAAAATAAACCAGTCTTTGCTTCATATCCTCATATTTTCATGTTTCCATTTGTTTGTATGAGTGTAACAGAGGAGGTGATTTCTGTTGGGGTCCATATTTTTTATATTCCTTCCTATCCAAAACTGTGTTGCAATGGATTAATTAATTGAGACTGTCTTATCTCACATGGAAAACAAAAATTATATTTATCAAACAAACATTCAAGTTTTTGGTTCTTTGTTGTTTTGACACATATATATTTTTTGTCTTTGTATTTTAGATAGCTGATGTTATCCTGCTTTTGTGTACCTGTTTTTGCAAGTGCTTGATAGTTATCTCGCATTACAGGTTAGTGTTTTGTCCATTTTTTTAAAAGACTCTGTATAGCACCTGTAGTTGATTAATTGTCACATATTATGCTATTTGAAAATTCTGATTTACATGGTTCCGTCATGATCATTGTGCATTTGTTTCACTTAATTACAATTTAGGTGTGACTGATAATCTAAAATTTTATTTATGCCTTTTTTTTTTTGGGTCTTTCCAGTCATTAATTTGTTGCTTTAGGGGTTTTAAATTTCTATGCATAATGGCCAAGAGGACTAGAAATAGCAGACAAAATCAGATGATACATGAAGCTCATGGTTTGATCATTGCAAATGATATAAAAATCTCA